AGGCATTGGATGGTTTCCTGTTCGTGGTGAATCGAGATGGAAACATTGTATTTGTGTCAGAAAATGTCACACAATACCTGCAATATAAACAGGAGGACTTGGTTAACACAAGTGTGTATAATATTTTGCATGAAGAAGATAGAAAGGATTTTCTTAAAAACTTACCAAAATCTACAGGTAGGCTCTTAATGTGATTTTCTAAATATTTAAACAATTTTTAAAAAATGATTTCTAAGAAAATTGAATATACTTTTTAGAAATGTAGGGATTAGAGGTAAGTGGTTAATTAAATTTTTAGATATGGTCTCAGTAAATTTCATGGGGTCAAAATATACAGTGAGGGGCTGGGGGTGTGGCTCAGCAGTAGAGCACTCGCTTCGCAGGTGCAAGGCCCTGGGTTCGATCCTCTGCACCACATACAAAAAAATAAATAAATGAAATAAAGGTATTATGTCTGATTACAACTAAAAAAAACATTAAAAATATACAGTGATATTTCTGTTGAAGTTGAAATTATTCAAATGTTTTTTATATTACCATTCTAAAATGTTAGCATAGGCATTACCATGGAAAGTATATGTAATGAGAAAACATAGTTGAATTTTTTTGGGGGAGGCAGAGTCTTGCTATGTTGCTCTGGTTGGCCTTAACCTGGTGGGCTCAAGTGAATCCTCCAGAGTAGCTGGGATTATAGGTCTGCACCATCATGCCTGGTTTATCACTTGAATCCCTTTTTTCTTTCTTTTGTGTTTTTCCCTTGTTTTCCTCCTTTCTCCCCTTCCTTTCATTCCATTTCCCCTTCCTTCTTCTTCCTTTCCTTTTTTAAAAAATATTTTTAGTTATTTTTTATTTAGTGATTTTATTTTTTTAATTTATTCTTTTATGTGGTGTTGAGGATTGAACCCTGTACTTCACACTTGCTAGGCAAGCGCTCTACCACTAAAACTGCACCCTAGCCCCTTTCCTTTCCATTTTGAATCCAGGGTCTTGTGCATGCTAGGTAAGCACTCTGCTACCCGTAGCATGAATTCTTGATGATACTCTTGGATTGAGTTTTTAGATTTTTAAAAAGTTATTTCCACTTATTTTTCCAAAGTTAATGGAGTTTCCTGGACAAGTGAAACCCAGAGACAAAAAAGCCATACATTTAATTGCCGTATGTTGATGAAAACAACACACGATATTCTGGAAGACATGAATACCAGTCCTGAAATGCGCCAGAGATACGAAACAATGCAGTGCTTTGCCTTGTCTCAGCCACGAGCTATGATGGAGGAGGGGGAAGGTAAGAGCAATCAGATTTATGATATTTATGAAACACAGCAGCAAACTTGGAGCGTATGGCTTCCATTGCTGTAAATAACTTCATACTGTAGTTCATGTCATTGTTCACCTGTAATAGATATGTCCCAAGATAAATAGAATCCTTATTTGATCAAATTTTTGATTGTAGATTTGCAGTCCTGTATGATCTGTGTGGCTCGTCGCATTACTACAGGAGAAAGAACATTTCAGTCAAATCCTGAGAGCTTTATTACTAGACATGATCTTTCAGGTAAAACTGTATGTGTGTGTGTGTGTGTGTGTGTGTGTGTGTGTGTTTTGTATGTTTTCATTTTGGAAATTGTTAAAAAGTTAACTTAGTGTACATTATCATTTTAATGCTTATATCCTTTGTGATGAATTGAAAAAATTTTTTTTAGTTGTAGATAGACAAAATATTTTTATTTATTTTATATGGTGCTGAGGGTTGAACCCAGTGCCTCACACATGTGAGGCAGGTGCTCTACCACTGAGCCACAACTGCAGCCCCGTGATGGATGTTTTAAGTATATTATATCCTGTGTTTCTTACATAGACCTAAGGGAATTAATTTCACTAAAACTCTTGGCATTTGTGTTGAATCTATTTGTCACTTAAAATCCCCCAAGCAAAAAAATTAAAAAGCAAAAGTAGGGGCATCTGGCTTTTTCTCCAAGCCTTATTTTGAATTTTATTTAGAGAGCGGGTCTCACTGAGTTGCTTAGTGCTTCCATGTTGCTGAGGCTGGCTTTGAATGCGCAATCCTCCTGAGCCACTGAGATTACTGGTGTTCACCACTGTGCCCAGCTCCAAATAGCATTTTATACCATAAGTTAGTATTTCTTTAGCTTCAAAATTATGTATTAAAAGAAAGAAGTTTTCAAAAGTACAGGTAATTTAATAAGAGTTATTATATAATTATTGGCATCAAAATGAGCTGCAATCTTTTTTGTGTGTGTGTATGGGGGTACTGAGGATTGAACTTAGGGACACTTCATCACTGAGCTAAATCCTTAGTCCATTTTATTTTTTATTTTAAGGCAGGTTCTTGCTAATTTGTTTAGGGCTTCACTAAGTTGCTGAGGCTATTCTTGAGTTTGAAATCCTTCTGCCTTGGCCTCTAGAGTTGCTGAGATTATAGGTTTGATCCACTGTGCCTGGTTGAGTTGCAGTCTCGGTCTGCAATGTGGGACTTGAGAGTTAAAGACATTACTGTTGAGAAGGTACATTGGGGAACAACTTAAACTGGTAGAAATATTACTTGTGTTCATCTTCAGGGTTGCTCTTGTGACCATTTAACCTCTAAGTATGATGTGAAGTGTTTGTCATACCTGCATCATCTCAGAGATTGGAAATGGAAGTCTGGCGATATGTTTGGGTTATTGTCCAAGATCATGGCTAATAAGAGAATTTGCACTGTGTCTGCTTGACTTAAAAGTCTATAGTTTTGGCTTTGTGTAACACTGATTTTATACACCGATTGTGAACCCTCAATAAATGATTTAATCAAGTGGAGTAGTTTAAACAAAGCATAGCTCTGGCTATTATAGGTGTGTGTGTGTGTATCATATATCTATGTACACACATGTAATGCACATATCATATTTTATAAATTGTTATTTTTACAGTCACTTGATCTCCTTATGTCATGCCCAGTTGTCTTGAGGATGCTTGGTATTGATTATCACAAGTGAAAGAAGTAGCAAAAATGAAATTTGTGTTTTGAATTGTCAATATGTTTACATCAATGGATATTAATTTATATTGGAAAATTTTCTCTGTATTTACTTGCCTTCTAATAAATATGGTAACAGGCATTTTTGTGTTATTTTAGAGTGGGCCTTTCTCTACACTTCTTACGATTTGGCTGATTTAATTTTCTCTCTAAATAACTTAGTAGCATCTTTAAAAATTATCTAGTGCTTTCTTTTATTATAAAAGCAAAATACGTTTATTATAAAAATTAGAAATCACCAAACAATAAAATCAAGTCCTTTTGTCTGGATAATAATATTATGTAGAACTAAGAGTCATCTTTGCAAATTATAATTGGTGCCTTCCAGTTACTCTGTGTTTTACAGCAGGTTTGTTGGCGCTCAACAATTTTTTTTTTTTTACCTACAGAGATATTTTCTCCTCTGTCCCTGATGTGTTTCATTCAGTAAAACTCTTTCTGAGCTTCTATTATATGTTTGATGTGTGTCTCAGGGCTAAGCTCAGAGGAAGTGTTTGAGGACAGATCTTTCCTATTTTGTGTACACAAGGCACAGTTATTTACTGTTTCCTGTAATGTATTTGATCTTTCTTCAGAGTCATGTCTCCCCCATTCCTTTGCACTATTAAGATTTTTTTTTTTAATATGGAATGCTTCACAAATTTGAATGTAATCCTCACACAGGGGCCATCCTAATCTTCTCTGTGTCATTTCAACTTTAATATGGGTGCTGCCAGAGCAAGCATAAGGTTCTTTAGTCACCATTAAAACTCTGAATTTTAAGAATAGGGAGTGTAGTTCAGTGGTAGAGCCTAGCATGCTCAAGGCCTTGGGTTTGATTCCCAGATTCTTGGACTACTGATTTTATCTTTGTTAGCTCATTTTGCATTAGTACCTTTCTCCCCTCTAGTAGCTTTCCCAGAACTACCTTTCGCTATGAATTTCTGTGAGTTTTCTCAGTTTAAACTTGGTTTTCTTCAGCATGTTTTCTATTACACATACAGAGAGAATGAATCAACGGAACAGTTTGGAATCAACTTATTAACTACTTCTTACAAGTATTTGTACCTCTTTAGTCATGATTTCCACATTTTTAGGATTTGTAGTCATACGGTGGTGAATGTAAGAGGTCTCCTTGTTCTGATTATTGCATTTTTTAGTAAAACCTGCACAGAATAGATAGGCAGGTATAGGTAGTCTTGACATCAACATGAGGTTCAATCGTAATCTCCCAATTTTTGACCATGGAACACATTTTTTTTTTTTACCAAGATCCATGTCATAGAAGTTGATCACCCATTTTTTGCTCTGGACATCCTGGGTAATTAGTTTGAATTGTTAAATGCAACTTCATTGTTCTGCAGATTTATTAAGTTTTATTCTCCCTGAGAGCTTCCATACCCTCTCCAGACACTTACCATCTTCCCCTTACCTTGATGTATTTGCCAAACTGGAAGCTCCTCAAATCTTTTGTTTTTAGGACACACCCCACCTCCCTTGTGGAATCAGTGGAAGTGGTTGAAATTTCCAGTCCTGTAATCACTTTGTCCTGTTAGTGACCAGCCCCAATCCAAGGCTATCTAGGAGTACCATACTAAATCACCTTATTAGAATAGATGCAGATGATCAGAGAAACTCCTTATGAATCATTAAAATGTTCAGAAAGACTCTTAGTAAGAAATTCAAGAATTTTAGGAGTTTTGCATCAGGAACAGGATTAAGACAAATACATATCATACCCCACAGCAGAATGTGTAGATCGATGTGAGAGTATCCTGTAGGACCATGCTCTTAAGGAGAAAAGATGCATAACAGAAACTTGGACCAGAGAAAGTAAAGATCTTGTATTTCATTCTTTAGAGCTAATCAATGGCTAGGCAGTGTTAAATACTTGTGGGTGGGATTTAAAACTTTATTTTTTGTACAATAGGGAAGGTGGTCAATATAGACACAAATTCACTGAGATCCTCCATGAGGCCTGGTTTTGAAGATATAATCCGAAGGTGTATCCAGAGATTTTTCAGTCTTAATGATGGCCAGTCATGGTCCCAGAAACGTCACTATCAAGAAGGTAAAGATATTTGGGGCTGATTCTTGGTTTCATCATTATGTTGGGTATATGTAAAGCACTACACTTGCACCATGGTGGTCATCTTGTGGGCGTGGGGGAGAGAAGTGAACATACTTAGATTTTGTTGATAATTTTACTAGAGTTGTTACATACATAGAGGTTAACCTGGAAAAAACCTCTTTCACTGGTTTAAAACCCTTTGCATTGATATATACAATTCCTTCCTCTCTTCTCCTTATGTGTACTTGTTTTGCCAACTGTAGTTAGTAGTAATAGTATATTTTTCCTACAGCTTATATTCATGGCCACGCGGAAACCCCAGTGTATCGATTCTCGTTGGCTGATGGAACTATAGTGACTGCACAAACAAAAAGCAAGCTCTTTCGGAATCCTGTGACAAATGACCGCCATGGCTTTGTCTCAACCCACTTTCTTCAGAGGTAATGATGAATTACCGAGTATTTGCATGTTAAATGCAACCATGTTTTCAGGATGCTTTATTATTACTGTAAGAAGAGTGGAAATTTAATGAGAGAAAAACCAGGCAGGCTGTTGAATTTGGTGAGGTGAGTTAGATTCATAGATTCTATTTCCTTTAGGGTTATATTTTATGTAAAAATGAGTATTTAAAACATTTGTTATTTTTATTCTTTTTAGGTATACTGTGACACATTAAATTACATATGTGTAGCATCCCATTCTACAAATGAGTATTTGTTTACTAACTAAATACTTCCTAGTCAGAAGTAGGGTGGGAGGGCTGGTGCATAAGAGCACATAAAACCAGATTACCTCTGATTACCTTTCTTTCTTTTTTTTTCCTCTCTTTTTTTGGGTACCAGGGGCACTTGAGCACTGAGCCACATCCCAGCCCTATTTTGTAGTTTGTTTAGAGACAGGGTCTCACTGAGTTGCTTAGCATTGTGTAATTGCTGAGGCTGGGTTTGAACTTGCAGTTCTCCTGTCACAGTCTCCTGAGCCGCTGGGATTACAGTCGTGTGCCACCGTGCTCCGCTGATTACCTTTCATTTCTAAGATAATATATTACATTGCTTTTAAGAAATGAATTTAAAATTGGAAGGTACACTTTAAGAATAAAGGATAATGACTACTGATGTTGTTAACCTTCCTGTGTTGTTCATTTACTATTATCTTGAGCAGTTTGCAAGTATTTCCAGGTAAACTCTGGATATGTAGCAACTCTAGTAAAGCCTCTGAGGTTGCAATTAACATAGCTGTTGCTTCCTCACAGTGGTATGGTGCTATGATTTATTTAGACTCTTTGGCTTATTAAAAAATATGTTACTAGGATAATTTGTGACCAGTGTCTAAATTGGATTTGTCACCAGCTATAGAGTGGTGCCTAAAAGAAGTTATGTTCCTGGACACTTCACTTTCCCTAAATCTTACTCAGGGCTTCAATGCATGCCTGTACTTTTTAGTAAAAGTTTGATATTCTGTTTCTTTGCAGAGAACAGAATGGGTATAGACCAAACCCAAATCCTGTGGGACAAGGCATTAGACCTCCTGTAGCTGGATGCAACAGTTCAGTAGGAGGCATGAATATGTCACCAAACCAAGGATTACAGATGCTGAGCAGCAGGGCCTACGGCTTGACAGACCCCAACGCCACAGGGCAGATAAGTGGAACGAGGTATGGGGCTTCCGGTAACATAGCCTCATTGACCCCTGGGCCAGGCGTGCAGTCACCATCTTCCTACCAGAATAATAACTATGGGCTCARTATGGGTAGCCCCCCACATGGCAGTCCAGGTCTTGGCTCCAACCAGCAGAACATCATGATTTCTCCTCGAAATCGTGGGAGCCCGAAGATGRCATCACACCAGTTTTCTCCTGTTGCAGGTATCCATCTCAGCATTTTCTTTTTTCTTTCTATACCATTTCAATTCTTATACAGCGAATTAGTTTTATAATAGAAACCTTGACGTAGCCTTTTGTTTTAGTCTGATAGCACCTCTTGTTTTTTCTCCAACAAATCCAGGTGTGCACTCTCCTATGGGGTCTTCTGGCAGTACTGGGAGCCACAACTTTTCTAGCAGCTCTCTCAGTGCCCTGCAAGCCATCAGTGAGGGTGTGGGCACCTCCCTTTTATCTACTCTGTCTTCACCAGGCCCCAAGTTGGATAACTCGCCCAATATGAATATAACACAACCAAGTAAAGTTACCAGTCAAGATTCCAAGAGTCCCCTAGGTTTGTACTGTGATCAAAATCCGGTAGAGAGCTCAGTGTGTCAGTCAAATAGCAGAGATCACCTCAATGACAAAGAAAGTAAGGAGAGCAGTGGTGAAGGGTCAGAGAATCAACGGGGTCCTTTGGAAAGCAAAGGTCATAAAAAGTTACTGCAGTTACTGACCTGCTCTTCTGATGACCGAGGTCATTCTTCCTTGACCAACTCCCCTTTGGATTCAAGTTGTAAAGACTCTTCTGTTAGTGTCACCAGCCCCTCTGGAGTCTCCTCCTCAACATCAGGAGGAGTGTCCTCCACATCCAATATGCATGGGTCRCTGTTGCAAGAGAAACACCGTATTTTGCACAAGTTGCTGCAGAACGGGAATTCACCAGCTGAGGTAGCCAAGATTACTGCAGAAGCCACTGGGAAAGATACCAGCAGTACTACTACTTGTGGTGAAGGAAATGTCAAGCAGGAGCAGCTAAGTCCTAAGAAGAAGGAGAACAATGCACTTCTTAGATACCTACTGGACAGGGATGATCCTAGTGATGCGCTCTCTAAAGAACCCCAGCCCCAGGTGGAAGGAATGGACAATAAAATGAGTCAGTGCAGCAGCTCCACCATTCCCAGCTCAGGTCAAGAAAAAGACTCGAAAATTAAGACAGAAACAAGTGAAGAGGTAATTTTATTTTTTCCCTATATTCCAGCTCAGTCATCTGTCTTATCATTTCTGTTAGAATTTGTATACAATACATTTTATTTCTTATTTTCTAATTTAAGATTTATTTAAGGAAAGTTAATAGTGAGCTTTCATTTCTTTATAATTTTTTGGACATCAGTAAAATATTGCAACAGAGAAATATACGTTTCTTCTGAAATGTGACTGATTCTTTAAAAAATATTTATTTAATATTTAATATTTAGCTGTAGTTGGACACAGTGCCTTTATTTTAGTCATATTATTATGTGGTTCTGAGGATCGAACCCAGGGTCTTGCACGTTCGAGGCAAGCACTTTATTGCTGAGCCACAACCCCACAATCATGACTGATTCTTTAATGGACAATTTGAAAATTTGTCCATTAAATTTTTTTTTTCATGGAGGTGTTGAGATGAGTAGATTGGGCCACCAATGGTATGATAGATCTAATCAGAAAAAAAACAAAAGACTTTTGATTTTTATCAGAGTTTTGAAGTTTCATGTACATGATCATATTCTGGGTCAACATTTTCCAGCCTCACTGGAGGAACCTTGCTCTAGGAGGTGTAATATGAACCTGAGCAAAGGCAAGACTTGCCAAAGTCTTCTGGTTAGAGTATGGATTTTACTTTGTTTAACATATTGTTCACCAGATTTATTGACCAAAGCCTTTTTAAAGATCATGCCCCAAATTATCTTGTTGAACATAAGCATGTGTTTATGTGTTTACTGTTAATCATATTTGTTTATAGAAGGTATGTGTAGAGCAGACCTCTGTCAGCCAAGGGGATCAGTTCTCTCCTAGTGACTGCTGGAAAATATCTTCCAGTGTGAAAATTAAATGCGTAGCCTAAGGGGAAAAACAATGCTCTATTGAACACCCCAAATCAGTAATTTTTCTCAGTGGTTCAAATTGTTCATAATTTTAAGGAAGAAGATTAGGGGTGGGAGAGTCATAAGAAAACAACCTTTAAACTGGGCCTAATAATTTCAGGTAATTATTGTATTTCATTTGCTCCTATCTCATGTGTTTTCTTCTGATATATATTTGTAGCTGTACATCTTGTGTTGCATACAGGTTAATTCTTAAATTTTTATTTTCAGGTATCTGGAGACTTGGATAATCTAGATGCTATTCTGGGTGATCTGACTAGTTCTGACTTTTATAATAATCCCATATCCACAAATGGCAGTCATCTAGGGACCAAGCAACCAATGTTCCAAGGAACAAATTCTCTGGGTAAGGAAGAACTAGCTGCATATGTATGGATGCTCACACCAAGACCAGGATCTAAATAACATTTATAACTTCAGAACACATGCTCTACGTATCAGTTTCTTATGCAGATTCATAATATATGAGTTCTAAAAAGCTTTTTGCATGTTTTTTCTTTTTGAGAAAATTTGTAATTATTATGCCAGTAATCATGGTACTTATGAGAAAATGTTCGTCTTTGATATTCATTTGAGTAGCTGGTACCATGGCATATGTTTTCCTTAAGCCTCAGAGAATTGGATTGAAAAAACAACCCAAATTGTAGATTAAAACCTGTCCTTTGGTATTTAAGTAAATCTTGTCATTTAACCAGGAGAGTTTTCTTTTTTGACGTTTTCGGATTCTTACCTATGTGCTTTCCTATTGCTGTATGTTTTACTCATTCATCAATTTATTTATTTACTTATTGTGATTTTTCTTTCTTTTTACTTATTCTAATTAGTTATACATGACAGTAGAATGCATTTTGATATATATATAAATGGAACACAATTTCTCATTCTTTTGGCTGTACGTGGTGCTCCTAGTCACTCCAGTAGTGTAATAATATCTGTCTCGTTCTACTGTCCTTCTCACTCCCATAGCCCCACCCCTCCCCCCATTCCCCTCTACAGAAACCAACAGTTTCTTCACCCCCCCACCCCCATGGATCAGTATCTGCTTATCAGAGAAAATATTTGKTTTTTTTTTTTTTAAGGATTGGCTTATTTCACTTAGCATGATATCCTCTAGTTTCATCCATTTACCTGCATATGCCATAATTTCATTGTTCTTTAAGGTTGAGTAATATTCCATTGTGTATATGTACCACATTTTCTTTATTCATTCCTCTGTTGAAGGGCATCTACACTAGTTCCATAGTTTAGCTGTTGTGAATTGAGCTGCTATAAACATTGATGTGGTTTCATCACTGTAGTATGCTGATTTTAAGTCTTTTATTGTAGTATGCTGATTTTAAGTCCTTTAGGGGTATAAACCAAAGAGTAGGGTAGCTGGGTCAAATGGTTGTTCCATTCCAAGTTTTCTGTCACTTGGTATGTTGTGTGTATCAGTTGAAAAGGAATAATTTACAAGTAAGTATTCAGAACGGTCTTATTGATTTTTAGTGGCAGTGTTTTCTAAACTAAAATAGATAGTTGAATAGATTGGAAAAGAAAAGAGAAAGTTTAGAAGGATTTTTTTATTGTTTTGATTAGATAATAATAACTGGTTATATTAATTGCAAAATATAAGCAGAATATACTTAATGAGTACTCATCTGAAATATTCTCCAGGAGTTTAAAACATTGGTGATCCTTCCTCTTCCTTTCTCTCCCTCCTCCTCTTGAACCCAGGGCCTCATGCCTGCTGAGCATGCATTCTATCTCTCAGCTAATCTCAGACTCGCAAATTCTTCAATATGGAGTAAAGCAGAATATGAATGACCATATCAGGCTATATGTGTATATATATAAAGAGTGCCCAGCTCTTGGGCCAACATTGAAGTTGTGGTTTCTACTTTATTTGAAATACAGGCTTTTTTTTTTTTTTTTTTTAAATATAGTGTTTATCTTCTAAAGGAAGATAGTGTTTGCTTTTGTGAGAAAGACTTTTGTGTTTGTGGGGATGGGTATGTTTATATGTTATACTTGATTATTTATGTATTAAATTAGCAAGGGATATTTACGTGTTGTGCTTATGTGTTCCCAGTAGGTTTGAGAAGCCCACAGTCTGTGCAGTCTGCTCGTCCTCCGTATAACCGTGCAGCATCTCTAGATAGCCCTGTTTCTGTTGGCTCAAGTCC